TATATATATATATATATATATGTAATTTAAACGAAAAGTAATTAATTCTGTTGAACTAGAATCTGCCCTAAATACGTGTGATTGAGAATCAGCACAGTATTAGCTGAACTTATTTAAGGAACTTCTTGTTTATTTTATCAAACAATTACCTTTTCATTTCTTATAAAATAAAGAATCAACAGTGTTCCCTTAAACATGAAGATTGACAGACAAAATGATGTGATTTTAGTTGGTTAGTCGTATTTCTAGGTTTAGTACATAGGATTTGGCTGCAGCTGTTGTTGGAAGCCATTAAGTCAATCCCAAGATTTGACAGCAATTTTTATCCTTCACTTTATTTGTTAAAAAAAAACTAACCAATCGTCATGCATGGAAAAGTAGGTAAAACTAGTTTAACTTACCCGCCAGTCTGCTACCAACTTTTCATGATATGAATAAAACAAAAGAGAATAAATTAAAGATTATGAACATTTTAAGTAAGACAGCTATTATTTCCCTTTTTTCTGGGATTATCTTTGAATTTTGATCGAACATTGTGATAAAACTATCGTTACAGTTATGGGTCGTTTGGTTGGTTGTGATATAATACTCATATAAAATCCTGTATGTATAAAATTCTACAATGTGTCGTGTGAAAAAAATCGCCGTATTATTCACTGCACGCGTCGGCACTATCAAATAATATCAAAATTAAGTTATGCGAGAGTGTTATTTTATATGATATAAAATATATACGGAGAATACATATATTAATTATATGGAGAATAAACTATTTAAATAAAAAAAATTCCCTTAAAGTAATTAATTCTTGTATAACAACAGTCCCTTCATTGCTAACCACCGCATAATACTTCATTTATTATTAGTCACTCGCATAACGATTTGATCATCATTACGGAGTATATAAATAATTCCTGCATAGCTAGTATGTCAATCAAGCGACCCCTTAATGCAGTAATAAACAATTATCCTTCAACCCTAAATTAAGTAGGATTAGTTATAAAAATATATATTTTCTAACCCTCTCCGTTAAATAGAACAAAAATTACTAGTACAGTTAAATCTTTCTATAATAGTCTTATTTGTTTCGAATATTTTGGATACTATAACGAAGTGCTGTTATAGAGAACACATATTATAACATAACATAAAAATTAGTTTCGAAAAAACTTAATTTTTATAGAGAAATATTACTATACATGAATGTTGTTATAGAGAGGTATGACTGTATTATATTTTCCGTCAAGTACCATCACCCGTCTATTTTAGTATTTAACTCGAGTTTTGAACAGTGGGTGATTTACGAAAAGGAACACCAAATAAACTTCCAATGAAAAATTTGGGATTTCCAGCTCTCCACCGATCATTAAATGTTAATCAACCGCCCAACATTTGTTTCCCAATCTTTTAAAGCGTTTCTAAATTCCTAAAAGCGACGTTGCAACAATCTTCCACGTTTCTACTTACCTTAATAGCGCTATAGCTGCTCTCACCCGTCTACAATAAATAAATGACCACTTTAACTTGACACACCCGTTAAGAAATACGAATTTTTAGAGGAAAAAAAATGTATTTACTAAATTAATTTTAATTAATTATTGTCTTGACACATTGAAATATATAAATAAAGGTAAATTTTAGAAAAATAAAATTAATTCTTTTTTGATTATATAAATAGACACTTATTTTGGACCAAAATAAAAAATAAAATAGTAATTTATTGTGGACCGGAGGGAGTATTAGTTAGTGGCGGAATTAGGATTTTTTAAAAAAGTATTTCAAATATAAAAAAAAAGACACAAAAACTTTGAAAGATTCAATATATATATATATATATATATATAATATTATTTACTAACGCAAGCAGTTTGATGTAGAGGTGGACCTATGTCGTAAAGAGCGGGGTCATCAGTACACGGAGTTTGAAAAATATTTGTATACAGTCAAATTTCTCTATAACAGTCTCGTTTATTCTGATTATTTTTGATTGCTATAGTGAAGTACTTTTACAGAGGAATTATATTATAACATAACACAAAAAATTAATTTCGAGAAAAAAATAACTTTTATAGTAATGAATAACTATTATATATAAATAGTGTTATAAAAATATCTAACTATATATATACATTAGTAGTGACATAGCTAACAGATTTTGGTTGAAGGTATATTGATGAATCCGCACCTAGCTGTAACCAAATTTACTTCAAGATTTTTTTCCCCAAACATTAAACCTGAACTTAAAAGCCCACCACCACCATAGAAACTTCAGATTCCTTATTCCTCTTACATAGCCTCTGTCTCCAAAACTCACAACACACATCTTACTCCCTTCTTTCACAAATAACACTTCCCTGTTCTCTCACTTTCTGTCCATTTTTCTTAGCTCAACATTATTCTTTCCCTTCATTCAATTCACAATCATATCAATGAAACTTCTCTTGTTTTTCAGAATATTTCTGAACTTCTTGTTCTTACTGTACCAACCCCTGAAATGTTTTTCCTCTACCACTTTCAACACCCAAAATAATTCATCAACGTTAATTTTGGCACTAAAAACTCAAGAAATGCCATCTGGGTCCTTCCCTAGATCTTCAAACAAGCTTCCATTTACACACAATGTAACTCTTACAGTTTCTCTTTCAGTAGGTACACCTCCACAGAATGTTACAATGGTACTTGACACAGGCAGTGAACTTTCATGGCTACATTGCAACTCAACCCGAATCAACCAACCCGTTTTCAACCCGAACCGGTCAGTTTCTTACCGACCCGTTTCTTGCTCATCACCAACTTGTACCACCCGAACACAAGATTTCTCTATACCAGCTTCTTGTGACTCCAAGAATTTATGTCATGCTGTGCTTTCTTATGCAGATGCTTCATCTTCTGAAGGAAATTTAGCTATGGATACGTTTAATATTGGGGGGTCGAATTTTTCGGGTACTATATTCGGGTGCATGGATTCGGGTTTCAGTAGTAATTCGGATGAAGATTCAAAGACAACCGGGTTAATGGGTATGAACCGTGGAGCACTCTCTTTTGTTTCACAAATGGGGTTTAAGAAGTTTTCGTATTGCATTTCGGGTTCGGATTTTAACGGCGTTTTACTTCTTGGTGAGTCTAATTTTACTTGGGTTTTGCCGTTAAATTACACGCCGTTGGTGGAAATTTCACTTCCTTTGCCTTATTTTGATAGAGTAGCATATACTGTTCAACTTGAAGGTATTAAAGTTTCGGATAAATTACTTTCAATACCAAAATCTGTATTTGTACCCGACCATACCGGAGCGGGTCAAACCATGGTTGATTCGGGTACCCAATTTACATTCCTACTTGGTCCAGCTTACACTGTGCTAAGGAATGAGTTTTTGAATCAAACTAAGGCAACTCTTAAGGTTCTTGAGGATCAAGATTTTGTTTTTCAAGGTGCAATGGACTTGTGTTATCGTGTACCTGTTAACGCAACGAAGTTACCTGCATTACCATCGGTGAGTTTAGTATTTCGGGGGGCGGAAATAACGGTTTTGGGCGAGCGATTGTTGTATCGAGTACCCGGTGAAATTCGGGAAAATGACTCGATACATTGCTTCACTTTTGGAAATTCCGAGCTACTAGCTATCGAGGCGTATATTATTGGTCACCATCATCAGCAAAATGTGTGGGTGGAGTATGATCTTGAAAAATCTCGCATTGGTTTTGCTCAAGTACGGTGTGATGTAGCGAGTCAAAGATTTGGTCTCTATCGTTAATCATATGTCAAATACTTATAGTGTGTGTTTTCACTATAATAACAAATTCAGTGTAATTCCACAGGTGAACTCTAATGAGAGTAATGTGTACACAAATTTAAACTTATATTGTGGAGGTACAGAGATTGTTTCTGCTCGAGTCCGTAGCACCAAAATAGATGGTGGAAAGCATGTTGATGCAATTAGATTTTTGCAACTAGGTTTGAAATGTGGCAAGTGGTCCCAAGAAATTACACCGATGCAATTTATGAATTGCCATACTGAAGATGAAGGTGGGGTTGGTTTCATGGCTAGAATATGGTTGGATATTTTAAAGAGGCTTTCAATTTTGTACATTACCTTTTTTGAGTTAAACAGAAGTTGGATGGTTGAAAATAGATATTCTTTGAGCTGGTTCAGCCATAACTGTGGCTGAAAATAAAGGGTGTGCTGATTTTTCAAAGGCAATTAATAATCTTCTACTAGATTCTTGTCGTGTTCCGCGTTTTAGTCATGTATACTCATTCATTTATTTTATCTTTTTGTAGGGAAATATATTGCTTATTGTAATAAATCCTCTTAGTTGTTAGAAATAAATTTTCAGAGCCATTGGTATACTTGTCTCTCTTCAATATCACGGTCAACGGTTGTATGTTATGAAATTGAGGGTGATTTGCACAAATGGGCTGATTGTTTATATTTACAAAGTTTTTGAAAACGAAAATAAAATTTAAACATTGAACCACCTGGTAAAATTTTCTGTAAATATTTATGTTTGGGCTAACTTTCTCCGTTCTAAGGGTGGCACGTGGGCCGGTCCAGGCTCGGAACCACGGATCATGTGGGCTTCTGGGCCTAAACGATTCTTAACTGGTTAGAACCGGGACCGTGGAGGTGGCCCGGTCTTCTGGACCAGTCCTTCACAAAAAGACTGCAAGACCGAGACCAGACCGGTCCTTGGCGGGTCTAAACGGTCTCAACGGTCAGATTTTTTTTTAAAAATTTTTACCCGTTTGGCTATTTAAAAACTAGCCATTTGGCCTGCCAAAATAGTCGTTGGCTATTTGCAAAATAGCCATTTAACCTCCCAAACTTTGTTTTAACCCCAAACTTTTTATAATTATACTTTTCCCTATTTTTAATTATAAATACCCCCTCATTCTTTCATTTTTCTTACAAAAATCATCAATCTCTCTCAATCTCTCTCTAATTTTCTTCTATAATTGCTACTATTGCTTACTTTATTGTTACAATTTGTGAAATAATTGTGAAGTTGGTGAATTGAAGTTTTCAAGTCTTCAACGATAATTAATTTTCAACAAATTGTTCATCAATTCGGTAAACTCGTTCCAACTCTTAATTTTTAATATTATAGTTTTGTTTGTTTTATTTATTTTCTATTATTTGATTAATTATGATGACTTTCTTAAAAAAACTTTTTGGTAAAAATAAGGAAAAATTCGAGAGTGGCGAATCTAATGGCCAATCTGTTCCTCTTCCACTCCCCCGGCTCCCCGACCCAAACCCATACCCATCCTACACCTGCTATTCTTGATAGTGATAATAGTTTATTATAATTTATTGAGAGTCAATTTTGCCATAATGTTGGAGCTGGTGAACAATTAGACCATGAATTAATGAATGCTCTTTATTCTAATCCAACTATTGATGAAAATGATGAGGAGGAAATGGATTTTGATGAAACGCAACCGGATGACATACACCCACTAGTCCTGCTCCTGAAGTTAATCCAACTAATGATAATCCAAATGATGCTCCGTTTGAACCTCCTGTTACTACCCCTACTTTTTCTAGACAACGTACCAAACGGACAGAAACATCTATTGTTTAACTATTTTTTACTCAACTAATTCCACAAAATAAGACTAAGTGTAAAACTTGTGGTAAAAAATTAACTTTTAAATATTTTGGAGGTTGGGGGGGAAGGGG